CCCTGCAGGCTAACTGGTCAGAGCAGCAGCAGAAGCCACCCCATCAGATCCGTCGAGTGGATGTGCCCAGGTCAGGCAAAGGCTTTCTTCCAGCTATCCCAGAGCGATTTCCACCCACGCCAATGGGGCTCTGTAGCCAGTCCACCATTATGCAGGACAGCCAGCATGCTGTGGCTGCTGACGGATACTGTCGGCCCCTATGCGCTCGCTGGCTTCTGTGTGTGGGGGCTGATAGTGTCAGGCAGCAGATTTGGAAGTGAAGCTGTATCAATTATCCTCGCTCTGGAGGCGGCGGCAGGGAAGGCAGGATCTGGCATGCAGGCACCCTTTGCCGCTGCTGCCGCACATTGTCCCGTGTGCGCCTCCGTGCGGGGAGGGAAGGGCGTCTGCCACAGCTCATCTTCCCCTGCTACTGCCCCCAGCAGCGCAAGGATGGTCGGCACAGCTTTGCTTCCAGATCTGTGGCTGGCTGGGCTTGGCAATGCAGGGATCACCGCCGCCGCCTCCTGCTTCTCTGTGTGGTTGGCCAGTCAAGGGGCTCAGAGCAGCAGCTACTGCCCCCGTCGGAGCCACCCTGTAGACAGGACCCGCCCAGGTGAGGGCTCCTTTCTGGCCATCCCGGGGCCATCTCTGCTCACACCGATGGGGCTGCACTGTGGAAGGGAGATGACGGCTCTGATTTTACTCACTCTCCCACCAAAACTGCTCCTTTTATACGTTCCCTCACCCCGCCCAGCTCTTGCAGCTGTTCTCGGACTGCGCATACGTGGAGAGGGGGAGGAGGAAGAGCCCAGAAATGGTGTGCGTGCCCACAGGGATGGCTCTGTGTGCCGCCTGTGGCATGCGTGCCATAGATTCGCCACCACTGGCCTAGAATTTTCTTCCTGCAAAATCACAGACTTGTTCTTCCCTTTGGTCTTTCCCTTTGAATTCCTTTTTTACTTCTGCTTTTTAATTACTATTGCATTGCACTAGTAGTCTAAGGCTGTTGGATTCCAGTTTTTTAAAATATCAGCAAAACTTAATACACTAGAATTAGTAATACTGTACTAAATACTAAAGATAGTAATTCATTTTAAATAACTAAATGCACTATTAAAACTAAATAAAAGTTAAGAGTGCACTAAAATGTTATGGAGATGTTGCTTCTCTCCTTTTACCCTTATTATTACTCCTTTTCTGCACATTGCTTATCCCAAAACAATATTATGATTGTTCCTTATATAGAGAGTTGGAAGAATTTACAATCTCCTGGAGTAATTATAAACATGTTGTGCTATTTATTAGAAACTGTAGACCAGACATGTCAAACTCACAACATCACGTGATGTCGTGCAACATATTGGGACGGTTTTGCCATTGCCGGCAATGGGGTGGGTGTGGCTTCCGGATGACACGTCTGGCCCATGGGCTGGCAGTTTGACACCCCTGCTGTAGACACACATTTGTGACTGTTTAAATAATCTCTGAGTTACCTCACTGTGTGCTTTGATTTGGGACACACGATGCAAATCATCTAGAGCAGGGCTTTTCAACCTTTTCACAAATTGTACCACTTTTAGGACATGACAATATTTGAGTACCACCAGTACTTAGCAAGGTGTCAAAAACTTGATGACTAAAAAAAGGGGGGGGGATTTTGGATTTTACTGATTAGATCATTTGTTGTTATAGAAATGGCTAGTTTATAATATTATGGAAAAGTAAAAAGTTGAAGTTCAATATTAATGCTTCCTTCTACTGCAACAGAGGAAGTATGTTCTTTCCCCCTTTTCCCACTCACTTTCCCCCCCTTTTTCCACCCCACTGTCCTACTATTTGCTTTTGTATTTTTATATTTTATTTTATTTTATAATCTAATAAAATATTACAAACTACAGAAAAAAAAGAAAAAAAGTACCAGTTTTAATTTCTTCAGTGGCTGTTCCTTTGCTGAATCACTTTCCCTTTGCACTGACAAATGTATGATGAATTTATCCATGTTTATTAATATGCACCACTACCAGCTAGTTCAGGGGGTCTTCAAACTTGGCACTTTTAAGACTTGTGGACTTCAACTCCCAGAATTCTTCAGCCCTCATGGCTGGTTGAGGAATTTTGGGAGTTGAAGTCCACAGGTCTTAAAGTTGCTAAGTTTGTAGACTCCTGAGCTAGCTGGTTTGCCCTTCTGAGCTCTTCCACAGTGTAGTAAGAATGCACCCCCCCCAATCCCTTCCCTGTACCCTTAAAGACATAGAAATCAAGCGCAAAGCAAGACAATAAAGAAACACAAACTCCGTTTTTTTCTCTCTTTAAGCTGCCTCAGGCATGTCACGTTTCACAATGTTGCAATTCTAGACTGAAGAGCTCTGGCAATAGCAAAAAGCTTTAGCTTTAAATTAAGCCTGTTTACCTTGAAAGAAAACTTTCTAAAAGCCACAGACAGACTCAATTAAAGGGGGTAAAACTAATTACATTTGTTTAAAGGGATTAAACCTTTCCTGTTGTCTTTTTTCCCCTTCCCTCACCCAAACCACGTTCTTTTATAGCCTCTCCTCTCTTCCTCCCTTTTTTCTTCAATTCACCTCCAGCTCCAAGCTGCTTCTGGAAACGCCAATCAGCTGGGCTTCCTGGGGCTTCTGCAGAGCCCAGACAGTCCTGCAGCTGCAGCTGCCTCTCCCTCAGGCTTGGCTAGCTTAGGTTCATTCTCCTCCCCTGCTACACCTGGCTAGCAATCGTGTACAAAGTACCACAAGTGGTATGCATACCACCAGTTGAAAAGCCCTGATCTAGGGCACGGGTGTCATGTGTTGCGATGTATCGTGACTTTTTTTGCATTGCCGGAGCTGGAGTGGGTGCAGCCTCCATATGATGCAGTTTGACACCCCTGATCTCGGATAACAGAAACACATTATGGATAGTCCTTGAGTTACAAATGTAATGGAGCTTGCCCATTCCATTCGTAACTTGAAAACTTGTGGGATTGAATCTCCTACCTCGAAAGAGATCACTCCCTGTTTGTTAAGACACACATTAAGTGAACATGAGGCATCTCAGGGTAGGGAAGGCCACAGGGAGCCTAGTGATGGAATAGGCCCCCAAAGCCTTCCTGATCCATTAAGATACCTCATGCTTCCCCCTCCCTTCCTGCCGCACCAGAGTCACTTATCTCTCTGCTGCGGTTTCTTTCCCTTTGAGGGAGAGAAAAGGCGGCTTGGAAATGCTTTTCGTACTGACAATGGAAGGTTCTGGGTGCTGTAATATCACGCGAGTTCCATGTGCAGTCACATCAAGCTTCAAACACAGTGAATCCCTGCATTTTGAATAGTTTCAGAGGTGCACAAACACTTTTTATTCAAAGGAGACCTGAGAGAGATTAGAAAGTCTATGTAACTGCCAATGGTGAGGCTTCGGAAATGGAAAGGAATGCAGTCACACGGACTTTCCAATCTCTCTCAAGTCTCCCTTTGAATAAAAAAGTGTTTGAGTGGCAGCAGCTTGAGTTTCTCCGCTCTGTCCGAGTGGAAAGAAGTGGAGGTGCAGAGCCGGATTGCTCTCAATAAGGCCAGCGCACGCAAGCGAATAGCGCACCCATGTTTTTTTGAGATCAATCCTGCTCTTCACCGCTGCTTTCTTCTTTTTGGATTGAGCGGAGAAACTCAAGTTGTTCCCACTGCTTGAGTGGGGAAGACGACAAGGAGAAGAGAGATCAGGATTCATGCCACTGGTAGGTCAGCCAACTTAATAAATAAAACAAAAACATTAAACTGTTCTGATTGTGCATGTTTGGCATAAATATGGCCCTAAAACCCCAGCTGTTCTTTTAAAACTGGTTTCCACAACAGCTAAACTTGATTAGTGAATTAATCCATTTTCAACAGACTATCATAAACGTTCCAAATATTAATTTTCACAGTATCCTAAACTCATACTAAAAATTAACCAAGATAAAAGCTAACCACATTTAACATGTTGTGTGAATACTGAGTTAATCTGTATGTTGTGTACACTAAGAACAAATGGAAAAGGGATTTTATCAATCCAGTCTTTAAAATGTGAACAAGAGAGGACTTTTTACCATGCTTGGCGGACATGTAAAAACGCTAAACAAATTTGAACTCAAATATATACATTAATTCAGAGGATCTTAAAGACTAATACATGACTTAAACCAAAGATATTCCTTTGGGGACTGATGAACAAACAGTTGGAAAAAAATCATGAATCTTTCTGTATATGACAACAGCAGTGAGACTTCTATATGCACAGATGGAAAGATTCAACATTACCTACAATGGAAGAATGAATGGTGATGTTGATGGAGCTGGCTGAGATGATAAAGAAATTGATAGCTTTGATTAGAGAAAATACAATTTTAATGCTGATTGGAAATCCCTCTCAGTTTTTGAGTGAAACAAAAAAAATGAAATGGTGACATATGGATTTGATGATTAGGCAAAATGGTAGATAAGAGAAAAAATAAAGCTATGTTGTAATATTAGAGCTTAATGTAAATTTATATTCATATTTTTAAGTCTGAAGTCATTTCTTTGTATTTCTTTTTCTTTCTGTACTTCTGGCTTTACTTTCTTTTTCATTGCTACCTCTTTCTACTTTGTTTTTTATCTGTTTATTTGAAAATATTAATAGCTATCTAAATAAAGCGAGTCTTCAAATGGAGCACTGTGGTGAGAAAACTGACAGGGAGAATTGACAAACATATGACAAAAGGAAAACTCAAAACTGCCCTAATTCAGCAAAGGATTTTTTTTTTTCTTATCTCCATTCCAACTCTACTTACCCACATGGTCAACACTTCTGTACAAAAAAAAAAAAAATACAGCTGATTGGGCAATGCATCTCTATCTACGGAATTCTATCGAAGACTTTCGCCCCTCCCACCACGGTGTTCTCCACTGAGCCTCGATGACGTCGACAGCCGAACGCCTCCCGCCTTGCACGAAACTGGGGCGGAGACATCCTCGCCGCCATTTTGCCCTCCCAACTGCACTCTTCTCATTCTGTTCGCACCGCCCCCAGACGACTCGAGGAAAGAACTCCTCCTCCTTTCCTTCGCCTCCCGCCGTTCTGGCCGGAAATATCCGAGGCAGAACAGAATCTGCGCGCGCGGTCTTCGCGCTCCCCCTGCCTTTCTCGCCCCGCCTCCTTCCCTCGTGCAATCTCCTCCTCTTTCCCTCCTCCTTTCCCCCTCAGCAAAATGGCGGCACGTAGAGGCCTTAGCAGTCAGTGAGTGACTCGCCTTCTCCTTCTCCCTCGGTGGCTGCCAAACTCTTTTGCATTAGATTGTCGCCTCCTCGTCTTTCCTCCTATCCTGAAATCACTTTTACAAACCCTCTTCTTTCCCGCTCCCCTTTACGATTATTCCTTCCTTCCCTCCCCCTCTGTCACACTCAGGTACCCATCCCCCCACCGGCCTCTTCCCCTCCCCCTCCTCCATTCGCCATCAATCAATCAGCGGCGACCGAGAGCGGATCAATCAATGGTCGGGAGGAGGAGGCGGCGGCGGCTGCTGCTGTTTAATGAACAATGTGTGAGAGCTGTGCTGAGCTGCTGGAGGTGTTAAATGAGAGTAAGTTGAAAACCTTGATCAACGAGGAGGGGAAGCATCTCGTACTTTCTTCCCCGGCCTGTTTTGTACGAACCGGGTCGCGTGAATACAGCTAGAAAATGCAATGATTGTTGTTACTGCTACTGCTCTAGAGGAAGGAGGGAGGGAGAGAGAGAGACTGGCGATACCGGGTCTTCTTGCCCCGTTTCCACTATTTCACTTCGCTCCCTTAGAGCTGGGAAAGGGCTGAAAAGGCTTGCTAGGAGTGAAATGGTCATACGGGAAGGCCTGCTACCGGATTAAGGCTGGCACCTTTTGCGCGGAGGGAGGGCCCAATTGGAAAGTCAATCGGCGCCTACTCTTGAATAAGCACGGGATGGCGTTGCCTTTAGGAGTAGTAGAGGACGAGGATGGCCTTTCTGGCTGCCATCCCTCCTCGTTTTTCCTCATCTTACAAACAAGATATCTGCAAACGAGAGATACCGGTGATATGGAGCTGTAGAAAGATCCTCTGCCTTAAATGGTGCAAATTGGGTAAGAAGTGAACGAAATCAATACTGGTAAATTTTCTCTGCTTTTCCTCTTCAGTATGTTCCTATTAGTTGCATCCTCCGGCTAAAAGAACGCGGCCTAGTTCTTGTGCTCCGGATGAGCTTGCAGACAAACGAGGGCGGTCTGGATTATGATGTTTGGGGCACGCCAGGAATAAAGCTATGGTTGCAGTCTCATTCTCGTCACCTGCAGAGCTGTTAAGATCTTAAGTGGGGTTGATGGAAGGACTTTCAACTGGAGTAATCTTGGAAAAAGCTTTATTCTATTCTGCCTTATTTTCTGCTTGATTCTACATTGTTGGATGATGTTACAGTGCTTCTGATGCTGTAAAAGATTCTTTAAATGTTTTAAACTTAATTCCAACCATTCTCTACATATAGATGCAGTAGTTTCTATGCTTTAGTTTTTTAAAAAATATTTGCCTCATTTGTTTTGCTTCCAAACTGTTTTATGTTGATTGCAACACAAATATATGAATATTTACCTTGAAAGAGAATTTTTGCAGGTTTTGGAGTAAATCTCTCACAACTAAGACTTGATTCTAAGGAAGAACATGTAGAATTTGGGCCGTAAGTCTTAGATATTTAATGTTTTTTGGGTCAAAAATGTTTATGATTTATCTAATATAAAACTGTTTTGGATGCTTGACTGGTGCTGTTCTGCCCTAATTTGGTGATATAAAAAGAAACCTGTTAGGTTAAAACTCCTGGAAAGAGAATAGGTGGAAACAAAACCGTAAAAAAATAAGGTTACTTTTGGTGTGATTGCTTGCAGTTATTGTATCTTATCCATGAGTTGGTTTCAAGAATTGCAGGCAGTGCTTAGGATTCTCTGGAGTAGGCCTGATATAATTCCAATTGTAAGTTGTTCATATGCTTTGTATTAATATGGCTATAATTTGATGGAGAAAAAATGATGTTCTTGGTGCTGAGATCCATGTATAATGGTGGTAGGAGATAAGAATTTCACAATCAATTAAGCTTATGAGATCTTTTGAAAATTGTTCATTTATTTTGAGAGATTGGCCATACTTTGAAATAATGGCTCTTTGCTATTTGAATTAAGAAACTGAGCTGTACTTCTTCTGATTATCATTTGGCATTTATATTTTCACAGATTTTGTCCATTGATATGCAGACCTTTGCATGTTGACCAGAAATAACTTACCACATTCTGCAACATTTATTCTCTAGTGAATTTGAGATGGCTTTTGCTGTGATTAATAGGTTTAAGACAGTATTTAAACATTTCAGTTATTCTAAATTTTATGTTGAGGGTTTTTAAAAACACCTAGAATCAATTATTAGAAGGAATCTAATAGTATCTTTTGAGACTAATATACTTGATTAAACAGCATAAGCACAGGTAGTCCTCAACTTACAACCATTTGTTTGGTGACTGTTTGAAGTTACAACAGCAATGAAGAAAGTAATTTATGACCGTTTCATACTTAAGACTGTTGCAGGACATGTGATTAAAATTCAGATGCTTGGAAACTGGTTCATATTTATGATACCATATTTTCCAGCGTATAAGACAACCCGGCGTATAAGACAACCCCTGACTTCGGAGAAGATTTGCATGGTTAGAAAGTCGTCTTATATGCCGGAGAATACGGTATTTTCCGGCGTATAAGACGACTTGGCGTATAAGACGACCCCTGACTTCGGAGAAGATTTGCATGGTTTAGAAAGTCGTCTTATACACCGGAAAATACAGTAGTTGCAATGTCCCAGGATCATGTGAATACCTTTTGTGACTTTCTGACAAGCAAAGTCAATGGGGAAGTCAGATTCACTTAATTGTTGTAATAACTTAAAAACTGCAGTTGTTATTCCATGTAACAAGAAAGGTTATAAAATGGAGCAAAACTCATTTAACAAATGTCTAGCTTAGCAACATAAATTTTAGGCTCAGTTGTGATCATAAGTCAAGGACTACCTGCATTTGTGAGCTACATCAAATGAATGGAGTGACTGAACTGAGTTATGATCCAGTTTATACATCTAAGGAATTGAGCTGCAGGTGACAATGCTTTTGTCTTTTTAATATTCATTAGCCAAGCTGCATATTCCTTCTGATTTTTGGCTATGATAGACTAATAATCTTCACTTTCTACAGTATCTTGGATCACTTAGTATATAGTACTGAGAACTGGTTATTAGCAATTGAACATTTTCAGAGTGTTATTTAGTTGAAAATTTATTTCAAGATAGAACCCATAAAAATAACTGATAATTGTGTTTTCTTTTGTTTTTACATTAAAGTATATCAGAATTTTTTAAATCACATTTAAAGGTACCTGTAATAAATAGAACTTGTAAAAATAAGAAGAAAAGTTCTTGATCTTCTACAATTATATACAAGTCCTTAAAGCAGCCATACCTTTTTCTAAGATGCACAATTGCCTTCCAAAACTTCAGAAAAATATTTTTGATATTGGAAGACAGTTTGAACACAAAGGGCATGTACAAATAGTCCTCAACATATAATCACAATTGAGCCCAACATTTCCATTGCTAAGCAAGATACTTAAGTGAGGTTTTTTTGCCACAGCTGTTACATGAATCACTGCAATTGTTAAGTTAATAAAATGGTTGTTAAGTGCATCTAGCTTCTGTATTGACTTTGCTTGTTTAAAAGTTTCAAAATGCTATTCTCATAAATATCTGTCAGTTGCTGAGTGTCTAAATTTTGAATATGTGACCATGGGGATGCTGCAGTGATTGTGTGAAAAATTGTCATAAGTTACATAACATTGAATGATCATTAAATGAATGGTTGTAAATCAAAGATTACCTATATACACTTCTTTGAGGCTCATAAGATTGAGGTGACTTAAAAATACGGTTACATTTAAAGTATGTAGCTACTTTTGAAGAGTGTTTAGAATTAATTCAGCACTAAAATTTAATGATGGTCAGGTTTTGGAAAGGTAATTCCATTACTATATCAATTGCACTAGCTTTGGATCTCTTTTAACATTCGGGTTAATGTGCTATCTATGACATTTAAAAGCCCATACAGGTAGTTCTTGACTTACAACTGTGAGCTGTAAATTGTTATGATTCTAAATCAAGGAATCACATGACCAAACTTGAACTTTTGATATTTTTTTGCAGTGCTCATTGAGGGAATCCATTTTCTACAATGATATTTTTTGCTGGAAACCAGAAATGCTGGAAACTGGCAAAAATATTGCAAATTGCAGTCATATAAAATATTTATATAAAAATTATAATAAAATTATTTTGTATATTTTCTGGCACTCTTAGCTAAAGATAATTTAATCTTTTCATAAATCACTTTACATTTTTTGTATCAAGATAAATAGAGGCTTCATTGCATGAAGAATAACTGAATTTCTTATTTTGCTAATGGATATCAGCAGTGTGATCTGTGAAAAATACAAAACATTGTTCATGAAAGTACAGTAAATCGAATTCCATCATTTTTATCATGGAAATTTTATTTATCACTGTGATTTGACATAAATTTGACAGACTCCAGTTTTTGCAGCATTTGTATAATGTAAGTGGTGCAATTTTACAATGTACATAAAATTATATTATTTTTTAAAATTAAATCTATATAAATGGTGTAAATTGCAATGGTATTGTCATTTGGCACATTTTGCATTTTACATAATTTATAAACTATTGAACTCTTAATAGTCTTGCTAAACATTTGCTTCAAGAGATTGAATAAAGTTATATCAACACATAGTAGAGGGTTGATTGAGAATAGGGCTTTTTTATATAAATGAACAGTACTAAATCCCAAATCAACAAAACAAAATTTGTTCTATATCCATATGCATAATAAAATGCCTAGGGTAGGAGAGTAGATTATAAATGTCCAATGAATATTACATAGACTAGTTAATTAAATTATGGAATAGTAAACTTTTGAAATAGTTTAAGAATGGCTTATATCTCTAATTGATAAAAAGGTATAAATCAGGTTAAAAGTATCATAGTTGTAATTTATTTGTGTGATACTGCAGTCTTATACAAAGCACCAGTGAGATGCCAGAAAAAAGATAAAATTACATTTATTAATTACCATATTACAGAAGAGAGCAGCCCACTAAATTCTTAGCCCCAAGACCTGTGGAAAAACCAAGTTTTGATTACCTTTATGAAACCCAACAGCATAGATATAATCAACATTTTCCTGCTATTGAGGTAGTTATTGAAAAACTCCATCTCTTTTTTACAACATATCAGGCAAGAATATATAACAATCAACAATCACTATGTAGGACAGGCAGATGATAGGAGAGCTTATCCATGAATACAAATTTGCAGTCAGAAGACTATGAAAATTCCTTAATTTTACAAGAGATGGACAGACTGCACTGTAATTTCAACTGGGAAAGTGTGTGCATCCTAGATCAAGCTAGATCCAAAAATGCCAGGGAATTCTTGGAAGTTTGTATTTAGAAAAATCAGCCATCAATAGACACA